TAGAAGATACAGAGCTCTCAGTGGAACTTGATGTAGATAATGGGCTTCTTTCCTAAACAGAAATGACAACTGATCATAGGATTTTTTACTAAATATAACATTTATTCAGTTAAATGACTTCTTAGTAATTTACGCATAAATACAAGTGTACATGAAAACTTACCGAGGAATTTTTCCATCAGCTTACCTAGAAAGGAAAAAAGAATAGTATTGCTGGGGTTTACATTTCAACATCTGATCAGTGTTCAGAGGATAGACAAGGAAAGTAATGTGGGTTTGTTTTGGTTTTTAAATTATTAAATTACACCTTTTAAAACCTTTAATCTTGTATATCCAAAGAGAGTTTATGTTCGCATAGTGTTTTTAGGGGAATGTTCCCATTTGACCAGGAAACTTTGCCTTCAGAGATCATGGGCTTACAGTTTAAGCAAATTACTGGAATGTTTTTCATTCATTTAAGACTGAAGAGGAAGAGCTCTGTAGGCCACTGGCACCCTCAAAGTGTATTACTGAAAGAGGAAGCTATTTGCCATGAAGGAGTTGGCAATTGTAGATTTTACAGGTAACACATGTTGCGCACTTTGCTGGCACAGGGTAGAGAATGTTTCTTGGTTTTGCTTTAATTTCCCTTTCTTGGTGGTGGCAGTTTCTCTAATTGTAGTCTTACTGATGCTTCGGTTCTAAATGTTGAAATGCGTATTAATATTGAGAAATCTCAAGTACTGAGAAATGTAATACTGTTCCGTTGTCCTGACGTGTTGTTTTAAAAGAGACAATGACTTCAGTTTTTCTAAATGTTCTTGGAAATACTGTAGTTTTGCAGAACTGGTATATCCTATATAGTAGTAACTGGGTGATGAATTACAGCTTGTCAGGTTCATTAATATTTTTGTAGTGGAGAGACTGTTCCTATTAGTGATTCTGTCTCACATCCTAGGTGTTCTCTCCTTTTTACAAAGCTATTTGGTAGCTGTTGAACTTTCTGAGAAGGTGGAGACAGCAGCATTTATTTACTGTAAAATAAATCTGTCCATGGTTGGTGCAAATTTAGGACTAGTTTAGGAAACGACAGAGTTTGCATCTAGCTCTATGGTTTGAATTATTCAGGATCACTCCTGGCTTCTGCAGGTGTGAACGTGTTATACAACAGATCAGCATGTGACACTGAGTTACCATTGTACACAGTACAATGAAAGACAACTGACTTCTAATAGATAAAAGTAAGTTATTCTTATAGAATCACTTAGTATAAACATTGCTTTTGAAAACAGAACAGTTCAATTAGATTTTCTTGTTCTGTGCTAGCCTACGTGTGTCATTGAAGAAGTAGTTTACAGCATAATTTATAAAATTATTAATAAAAGTACACTGTGCTTAGGCTATATGCATATTGTATAAATTTAAGGAAAATGTATTCTTATATTATGCCTTTCTAATGGGAATTCTTCTTGCTTGGGAGGATGTCTGAATTTTTTTTCACAAAACTGATTTTCTATCAAAGTACCAAGTTATTAACAGCAAAACTTTTTTTTTTTTTTTTAAACAGAAATATAATTTTAAAATACATTTTCAGTAGATAGTGATGCATTTTTAGAAGCAGTCACTTACTGAACCAAATTAGATTTATTTAGTGCTAGTAGTAGTAATTTATAGGGATATTCAGAATCCTCAATCTGTAATACTTTTTTATCTTGTTGCTAACCCAAGTCAGTTTTTCTTAATTTGTGCCTGTAACATTAGTGCTTAGTGGTAGGTGTACCAGCTTTTTGGCAGATTCAGGGTTGCTGTCTGATTAACCTTTCAGAAGCAATTTAAAGAGAATGGCTAGTGCTTTGGAATTTTGTTTCTAAATCCATTGCATTAGATACTCATTACAGCAGTAAGCTTTTTGATATGTACTGTGGACAGAAATGTAACCACAATGTGTTTATTCAAAAATATATAATTAAATTGACTATTGTAATTTTTTTCTAAGTTTTGTTAGGAAATTTTGCTAAATTGGGTTAAATTTGAAGTAAGAATGTTATCATTTGGGGAGTGGCATTTTAAAGATGATATGTAGTTCAACTTTCTATGCAGCTCATGTCTAGCATAGGTTAGGTAGCCATATGTGAAACAGAATTGTGTTTGTAGAAAAAATCCTTTTAATCACAAAGATAAATCAAACCAGATGGTCCAGATTTTTTTTTTTTTTTTTTGTGAATGCATTTGCTTAGTCCACAATCTTCAAGCATTGGGAAGAAGCATGTGTTGGGTTTTTTGTCCTTCTAACTGTGAAATACTAAGGTTTCACTTTAGTCTTCTATGCTTCACTGATCAGTTCTAAAGGATCTTAGTGATAATAAATTGTGAATCAGGATTACTTGCAGTTACACTTTCTGGTAACTGCTAATTTTTGTCCTTCTTTTCCTGAGAAGATAAGTCAGTGACAGGTTTTTTTATTAGCTAATGTTTCATCCGAGTCATAGGTGAAGTGAGGGGGAATTCTGTAAGGCTTTACCAGACATACACATCTGGAATGAAAATATAAACATTAGCTTACATTTAACAGAGCATGCCATACTTTTTCTCAAATAGCAAAAGTCTCTTCCAGTATAATATTCTGTTGTTGATTTATCTTAGGCCTTGGTTTATTAAACAGATTTAAACACTCAAGTATTATTTTACAAGCAAACCACGATCTTTTTACCAAGTACAAGTAGAGTTTTGTGCTGTTGATACTCTGTTACTATGGCTGATAATTAGACGTTTTAAAATGATTTATGATCTTGCTTTAGGGAAGATTTAGTGCAGAATGTAAAGGTCACAGTCACATCGTACAGAAACTGGGCCCAATATTTTTCTCAGCAAAGACTGGACTAGCAGAGTTAGAAGAATTCTTGTATCATTTATGATTTGGGTGGGAAATAGGCAATAAAGTTGAAACTGCTGTCAGCTGGGAATCAATCCTTGCTTTGCAACACCCAGGGGTTTTGTAACATATTTATTGGAAATACAAGTAAGTACATACTCCTTTCTTTTTGCGTAGGGTAGTAAGAAAGCTGTTAGTAGCCTAAATGATGCCAGTCTTGCATGAAATGTTTTATGGTACATCGGTGAACTGGCCTTTTGGTATTGAAGACGATTGTGGAAAAGGGTGCTTGAGCCAGTGATATACCTTCACGTGCTTAAAAATATACTTGCAGCCTAGAGGAATGTACTCTGCTTAAAATCATTCCTTATACAGATACTAGGATGTAGAAGGTATTCCTATTTCTTTCTCTTCTGTGTCCAAGAAAGAAAAAAAAGTTGTGCATTCATGCACTGGGAAACTAGACAATGTTGATACTTGTAGCAGAATTTGTCCAGATAGGAAATACAACCTAGTGAAGTTTAAATATGATTTATTAACCTCAACAGCCCCAAATGCTATGGCTGTTAATGAGACCAGTGTGTAAACATTTTGAAATTACTTCTGTAGGTACTTTGATCTTGAATTTGATCTAAAACATGAGGGAAGAGCTATAAAATATAGACATTATAAACTCTCAGAAAAAGGAGAGGTTTTAAATCGAATTCTCTGGCTACTGGCCATGTTTCCATTCTCCCAGCTGAGTAAGTGCACTGGTGTGGAAGGATACTTTTTATAGATGAGTAAATTTTAAATTTGTGTTTAGCAGTCTTAGTAAGAGGTTCGTATAGTTAATCAGAACACTGCTACATCATGAGCCCAAAATACAAACCCTGGGCAAGTGAAATACAGTGTTTCAAGTGAAGTTTCAGTTCAGTTTTTGGTCAGAGCTTATCTGGTAAAATCACTTTTCCTTCTTGTCACTTGAACTGTGTCACGTCTGTATTGAGATTTCTTCTAAGGATTTTTACTGGTTTATATGATTTTTTTCTTTTTTGACTCTTCTCTGAGGTAGTGCAAAGCTTTGCTGTCCACTCTCCTAGATACTTTCATTTCTCATCATAGCTTCATGCACGTTTTACCATCCTCTTGCATATTCTCTTTTTTCCTTATTGTTTTCAAGCCTTTTCTGTGTCCCATAAGCACACAGTGTCATCATATCCTCATTATTTGATTAATCCTTAAAATATTATTCTTCAAGACTTAAATCATAGTTCATTAAAAACTCTATGTCAAGAAATCCATGGTAAAACAACATTTGTCTTCCTCTTTTAGGTCCTGATCCAGAAAAGTACTTAATCTTTTATTTAATATTAAGCCAGAGAAGCTACATTTGTGCTTCTCCATATTATGGTTCTAGTTGAACCCACAACAGCTCCATACTTGATTTTACCATTGTCCTCCTTGTACCCACTTCCAGTTTTCACTTTCAGGTGAGCAGTTTCACATAACACACTCAGTTTTCTATGGTCCGTATTGCCATTCTTGTTTGTTCAGTAGTTTGTGTATCTGTGGCACTATAAAAATAATGTTTTGCAAAAAGTATTGAAAAATATCTTTCTTGCAGAATGAAGGAATTAGTATTTATAGTAATCAAGCATTTTCAGCAACTGACTGTGCATCAAAATTCAAATTCAGATAGTGGAAATCCCACTGGAATAGCTTTGCTTGTAGCTAGTAAGAATTGCAGTTAGCACCACTATATCTGTTAATTGAATTGTCTCTAGTTTCCCAGTTTATGAAAGGTGGTTCTTCTCCCTTTCAGTTCTGATCTACAGTGTTTTGCCCTTTAATATCAATACTGCTACATGTGATCTCTTACTAGGTGAAAGCTAATCACCTGACTTGCACTTGTGGCATTGATCTTACTAGTTTTCTGTAATGACAAAGCTTTGCTGCTGTTTCCAGAGGTGTAAGACTAAAAGTAGTTCTTTCTGTATTACCAGAAGGGAATGCAGCACATGAAGTTACTATGTGTGCCAGGAAGATTTCAGAGTTGGTTTATAAGCTAGTTCACATTCTTGTTTGGGAACCTGGGCAATCTACTGAATATTTGCGTTGTGTTTATTTGCCTGGTTTCACCATAATTTCTTTCCGCTTTTACTTGCAGGTTAGTCACCTACTCCAGAGAGAATCAGAACAATGTCTTACGTTTTTGTGAATGACTCTTCCCAGACAAATGTGCCACTGCTGCAGGCTTGCATTGATGGAGATTTTAACTATTCCAAACGACTGTTAGAGAGCGGTTTTGACCCAAATATTCGTGACAGCCGAGGCCGAACTGGCCTTCACCTTGCTGCGGCCAGAGGAAATGTAGACATCTGTCAACTCTTGCATAAATTTGGTGCTGACCTATTAGCCACTGATTACCAAGGTAATACAGCCCTTCACCTTTGTGGGCATGTGGATACCATCCAGTTCCTAGTTTCTAATGGACTTAAAATTGATATTTGGTAAGTCACTTTTTTTTTAACAGCACATATTTTATACTATATTAGTCTTCTGTCACCAGAGCCTTGAATATAAATCTGCTGTTGCTGAAGTGCTATATTTGGTGCAATTCAGCTTTTTTAAGATATCACTTAATAAAAACATGAAATAAGAAGGCAGGAAAACAGTAAGAGGCTACTTCTGCTAGTCTGTGCAACAAGCAAAGCAAATAAAAATAGCAGTTGCTGGTGTGGGCTGCTGTATCTAATTCTGCCTCACTGGTGACATTGCTATCCTGGTTTGGCCAGACAGTCAGGTGTGGGTGGTTGGCACCAAAGAAAAAATCACATTGACTACTTTAAAAGAATTTTCTCCACCCTGGTTCTATTGTTTTAATTGTTGTACTGTGTAAGACAAAGAAAATACAGTATATGTGTGTGTCAGTTCATTCCCATACTCCTTCGGTAACAATGCTTCCTTTCAGTGTTTTCCCCCTCCCTCAAAGTCTGTGACTCAGTCCTTCTTTTAAATACTTTATATTCTTTCCTTCTGGCTTCCAGCAGCTGTCAGATGCCAGTGCTCAGATGTAAGCTCTCAAGCTGCAAAATAACTAGCAGTTTCATTGCAGTAACTGAATTATTTTGTTTGTGGAACTTTTGGCATATTCACAACATGTGCAAAACTAGTAGTAACAACTTCAAAACCTTTGAGTTTTTAAATCTGTCTCTTTCTCACCTGTCCTTTTTTCCCTTGTTAATGTTTTCGACTAAGCAAACATAGTTTTGGCAGACCAGATTCTTTATGGGTTGCGGGTTGTTTTTGTGTTGGTTTTTTTTTTTTTTTTTTTTTTTTTCCCCCCTCATTTCAAACAACTCTGTTGAAAATCCCTAGTCTGAAGGCAGCTTTGGTCCTATTCAGTATTATTTTAATAGTAGCGGAGGGACCATCTGTATTTTATTTCATTTTTGCCTGATGTCCTAATACCCACATGGAAAAGGAACTATGAGGAACCAGATTACACCATTCCTTCTTGAAATTAGGTTTAATCTTGAGCATTGCCATAAATCTACTGGGGTTTTTTTGTTATAACACCCAGAGATTCCAATTAGATTAGAGTACTAGGAATTTTGATTTTATTTAGAGGAAGAAGAGTTGTGCACTTTGAAACCTAAATATACTGATTTTCTTCTGTAGCCAATTATGCTATAACATGTATAGATAGGAATTTCTTAATGTCTGACATAACAGAAAACAGTTCTGAGGACATACTAAATTGTAATGTGTTATGCTGAGTTGTCTTGTTACAAAATTTCTATATTAAAAGTTTCTTTCCTTCTAATGTCCTTTTGTGGGCTTATTCTAGCAATCATCAAGGTGCAACACCACTTGTTCTTGCAAAACGAAGGGGTGTGAATAAAGATGTGATTAGACTGCTGGAATCTTTAGAGGAGCAAGAGGTGAAAGGATTTAACAGAGGAGCTCACTCAAAGCTGGAAACGATGCAAACTGCTGAAAGTGAAAGGTATTTGCTAAAAAAAAATAATTACTAGGGGAAATAGTGGCTGTGGCTTTTAGATTTTTGTAATTGACATTATTGTTCTTCAAAACAGGTAACATCACACTGGGCCTGGTATTACCAGACCAAATTAAAATATTAAATTTTGGAAAAACCTCTTTAAACAGATCAAATGTAAGAAAAAAAAGAACTTTTTCTATTGATATTTCTATTTTATGGTGGAAATTTTTAAAAATAATTGCTCATTTTCCATTACAGACTCCCAAAAATAAATATTCTACCACTTATCACAAAGCCAAAGGGAAAATGAGGTGAAATGCAAAATGCCAGTGTCACAGGCTAACCTGACATCCTTTTGATAAGACGGATTGTCTGTGCAAAGAAGGGATAGCAGACTTTTCATCCATCTGAACTTGAATAAAGGATTTGATACAGTGCAATATATGAAATTTCTGTCAGTAGTAGTCCTGGAAAAGATGGAGAATAAAAAAAAGAATTTCATGGTGGCTAAAGAGATAGCTAAAAGAGAACTGAAGATTTCAGGAAAATTGCTGACAATTTCAGGGAAAGTATTGGATTAGCGGGAAGTTATTAATGAATTCCTAAAGGTCTGGTTCTGGGACTGTGCTTGCTTAGTTTCCATAAATGATACGGGCATATCATGTTAGTGATACTAAGAAGTGAGATAAAGGCAACCCAGAGGAAAATAGAGATGGCAGAGACAAAAATCTGGGATGACAAGGGAGAGGAAACTAGTAGGAATAAATGGTGATTCATTAGCATAAAATGCAACTTCATTAACCTAAAGCTGTATGCCTTAAAATGGAAGTTCCTCAGTGGAAAATGAGGGTATAGGAGGAAAGACTTGATGTATTAGTTCCAGGAGTTGATGGTACCCTGAAAAAGGCATTGAAGTCCTAGAATGTGCAAAACAAGTTATTTCCACTACATAAAGGAAACTGTCAGTGCCATTTTAAAAAGCAATGATAGTTTCTGCTGTGTAGTATGTTTTATAACGCTGTTGAGCCCCATTCAAAAAAGTTTAATTTATCCTTTAAGAAACGTGGAGAAGCATTTTTTCAGCGCTCAAGGGAACAGAGTGTCTGCTTGTGAAAGGAGGCAACTAGAGCTAGTTTTATCCTGGCAGAGTGAAGGCTGAGGTGTGTGGTAGCTGACAAGAAATACTGGTTTTGAACAACATGAAGTAACTGTTTAAGACAAAAGCTAATGATAGCATAAGAGCCAAAGGATACAGATAAACCACAAGTACTTTTTTGATTGAAAATTGGGAGTGTTTTTTAACAATGAACTTCCAAGACAGCTTTCTTGTAGGATTTAGATGAGGCAAGAAGTCTTGCAGCTTTCAAAGGAGGCTAATGAAGAAACCCTTGAATTGCCAGTAAACATGACAGAACACAGGGTTGAAATTAACAGTGCAAGAGATCTTTCCAGTACTGTTTTGGTTTTAATTTATATTGGAAACAGGATATCAATGTTGTTTGGAATACTGACTTTATTAAAATTTGTAATTTTTCATACTGTCTAATAATGATCATGAACTGTGACTCTTGCAACATTATATCACAAAAGACAGGGAGTTTTATAACATAATTGTTGTTCAGTTTGTGTCAATGTACGCAGCCTGTAGTGTAAATGAAAATTAAACTGTGTAGATGGAGTTGTTATCTAAGTTGAGTAAACAGAAAAGGTGAAACCAACGAAATTGCAGAAATCATGCCTAATACTCCCAGTGAACAGGTTGGAAGTTTCCTCATATATCAGGTGGCTACACTCATCAGAGAGACTGTTTTAACACCTGAAATAGAAGAGTTAATATTATTCTCAAAATTATAAGAGAATATACATTATAAGAATGTTTGCACATTACCTTTGTGACTTAACTAAATTTTATTGAAAGTTGCTTGTCACACAGAAATGCATTTATGCTGGGTTTGTTTAAACATATGGACCAACAGCTCAGCTCCATTTAAATTCCGATTTTTGATTTAATAGTGTCCCTTTAATGAACATAGCTTCCTTTCTGTTATTTGACCTTCATAAATGTTATATTGTTTGCTTTGGCAAGGAAGTCAGCAACTCTCCTTGGGGAGAGGCACAGAGACATAAACAGTGCACTACCCAGCTTGTTTGTGAATGTGTTTAAAATGTCTGAAATACATTATTTTTAAAATAATAACAGATGCCTACAGCAGCAAAAGCAAGTGAGCTTGTGCGCTGTTTGCTTTGTAAATAAATAATGTCTTTGTAACAGTTGGCTTTTCAGACCTCCACAGTTTCACTCCTCCCTCTTAGTATTATTTTCACATTTTAGAGACACTTAGACGAATGTCTTCTATCCTCTTCCCCTCCCCCCCTCCCCGAATTTCTTACATTATGTATGAACCTATGGACAAATAATGGTTGCTCTTTCTAAAAACAGTCTCTAGCGTAAGTTTTCTGCTCCTTATTACATACAGTTGCTGCTGCTCTGGAAGCAGAGGCCAAAGCTAGGTTCCCGAGTCAAATCTGTTTTCTTTTGTTTTGCACTCCTGCCAGTGAGGAGCGGCACTGTTCTGTCAGGAGGCAGAGCTCACTCTGTCCATTTTTCAGCACAGCTCACTCTCCATTTACACAGCCCAGCATGACCTGTGACTTTGTCCACAAGTGCATCCAAATGTGAACTTCCACATTTTGTTGGAAACAGAAGAGAACATGTCTGGGCTATGTGGCACAAACTTTTATGTAGGATGCATTCCTGCATTACCATTTCTTAAGCAGCTGTAACTCATAATAAGAAAAAATGTCTTGAATAACATTGATTTTAATTGGGTTGTAATATAAAATACCAATGGTGTTTTCTATGTACCCTTTTCTATTTAAGGAGCAAGCATGTGATCTTTTCACTTAAATTGCATTGCACCTTTATTTAACCTCTCTGTGGTTATGTATTAACAAGTTAGTACTTAATGAGTGAGTAGTTCTTTTCTACACCAATGGCTGTCTTTCATTAAACCCTTTCTTTTGCTTGGGAAAGCGCAATAAGCAGGGAAGATGACTAAATCCTGCAGCTATGGGCAAGCAAAAACAGCTTTACAGCAAGGTAAATATTTTAAAAACAAAAAAAGACAAGCTGTTTAATGACAATTTCTGAAATCTCCATGTGATGCTGCAATACTTCAGCAGGCTAGGGGAGTTCAAGCTAATTATTCTTCAGTGGCTGTACTTCCTGAAAAAAAATACCATATGAATAGTGTGAAGTTTTTCCATGGTGTAATCTTAGAAGAGAGGTTCATAAATGAGACCGTTTTCTGATAACAATCATTTGTTAATTTATTATTGTCACCAAGAACAGTAGAATTTCTACAGTTAGCTTTGGCTTGGAAATTACTTTTCCCTGAAATGTCTTCTTTTATTATTACTATAAGAGCTATCTAGGAATATGGTAACTGAAAGCAATTAGAAGGGAGGGAAAAAATCCGTTTCTCTCAGCTTACCTTCTGGTATTGACATCATTGTGTACGTAGTTGGCTTCACTATTTCATTTCAGTGCTTGTCAGAACCTGATCCTGTAAACACCTGTGTCTGTAATTTCACTCAAGTGAGAAGTATTAGGACTGTACAGATGGCTAAAATTTGACCTAGGTGAAATAAAGTTTTCCTAGTCTGTGTGAGGTTTTTCATACAGCACCAGAAAATGTTTCCTGTTATAAGCCAGTTGTGAAACCAGCAAAATTGGGAGAATTATACAAGAAGCCATGCAGTAGTTGAAACAGCTTATTTTTTTTTCTAAAGGCGGATCATTGTCAAAATGACTGCCTCATTCTAATTTTTTGTTTCTCATTTGAAAGTGAGAGTTCTAGTCCCTAATTTGTAGTCTTGACAATTTAAAGGGGCCTGATGGATTGGTAGTGGAATGTTAAAACATCAAAGCAGTTCCTGAATGCCATGTGGGAGAAAACACAGCAATGCCAACTTGTCTTGAAGATCAGAAAGTTTCTGAACTTCTTGTTATCCAAATGTATTGTTTTCTGTGATATTTTTATGCTAGAGAAGAGGCCTCTAATAAAGACATGCAAGAGAGTAGTAAAGATCACCACAGAGTTCAGAATCTAAATTATATTGGTTAAAGTTTCTGTTTTATTCATCAGAGTTTATTTTTAAATCTTCATTTGTTTTATTAACAAGATCTGTGCCCCTTGAGGTTTTAGCTTATGCTTCATTAGATTTTACTAAGCCATATTTAGTAGAAATTATGAGGATTGACTTTTGAAGGCTTCTAGGTGGTAAGCCTGCAAACTCTTTACACAGGTTAATGAAACATCCTTTCAGCTAAATTAAGTTTAGAGTTAGGAGTCTTTTCCTGATCTTCTTTGTCTTGATTTAGCAGAGGCAATGCTATAAGTCTGCAGGTGGGTTTAGTTCTTAATTTAGAATGTTTCAGTTGCTCGTAGTAGGATTACTGTCGTACATTCTTTTGCTCTGATGTATTTTTAACTTTAATCCTTTGTAGTGCAATGGAAAGCCATTCCCTCCTTAATCCAAACCTACAACAAGGTGAAGGAGTTCTTTCCAGTTTCCGCACGACATGGCAAGAGTTTGTGGAAGACCTGGGCTTCTGGAGGGTGCTGCTCCTGATCTTTGTCATTGCTCTTCTGTCGCTTGGAATAGCATACTATGTTAGTGGGGTCCTTCCTTTTGTAGAAAACCAGCCTGAACTCGTGCACTGAAGCAAATGCAAAGAAGTGCACTGTGCTTTTTCCTGTTCTAATCTTATTTTGAGCTTCTTGGAATTACTCTCTTGGTGCAGACAGTGGCAGCTGTATATACTGCTTGCCTTTTGTACTTATTAACCCTTCTGAAAGAGGAATTAATTCATTTCAAGTAAAACACTAAATTCTAAAACATTCCTAAACTACCTCTGACTTGACTTGCAAGCAGGATGTGAATATAATCCCCTCTGTTGATAAAATATTATGATTAGAAAAGGCCTTTCATAATGAATATTAAATTCCTGGGCATGAAAAGTATATCATAGTACAGAACCAAATTTGATTTATTTTCTCTATGAAGAGAGGTAAATCTATGGTTGAATTTTTTAATGTGCACTTCAGTTGAAAGAAAAATATTCTTTTAAAAGTACTCCTCAAGAAGTCTGAATAATATAATAACACATTCTGATATATAGACAGTGATAAGCTGCAACTTCATAGTTTATAAAAAGAATGAGAAATAGTTCAAGTTTTACTATGTCTTTAATGTATAGATTACTCCTTTATTTATTAGGTTAAAGTAGTGTTTCTTCCCTGTATGAATTCATGTTGTGCTTTGGTAGTAAAGTTGTTTCAGCCCTAAGATGAAAATTTTGCCTTTTTGTTGAAATGCTACTAAGCAAACCTTTCTTTGTAAGGGTGGTTAAAAAGTGATTTAGGTGTTCTTCTCTGTATATAATAATTCTGTAAGGTCATTGTCTTTGTGAGATATATAATGAAGGATAACTTTTTTTTTCCTCCCACAAGGAGCAGACTGAACCATATAATTGTATTGTTTTCATGTTTGTGGAGAGAACTTGATTGACTAGAATTCCTTTCTATAATTGTTTCCCATTTCAGCACTTACAGGCTTATGAATTATTTTCTGAGTATGCAGAATAAAAGTATTTAAAATGTTAATATTTAGAAACATTGTATAAAATGAAATCTTGGCCCATTCTGTACTTAGCTGTGAAATCCTTTGTTTTTAAATAACCTAGAGTTATGAACCAGTTAGATACTCTTTTATGAAGGCTAAAATGGTACTACGTAGTAAGTTGGAGGTTTTTCTCCCCTCCCATGCTGATTAACATCTGACTCTCTTTGCTGCCATTGCCTTGAAAATCCCAAACAAAATGCATGCAGCAAAGCTAATGAATCTTTTTTTTTTTTTTTTTTTCACTTAGCCACTCCTAAATTGTTGCTAAATAACATCAAGCATTATAAATTACAATAAGTATTGATAGAAGTAACCTACATCTCTCTGTTCTGCCTCCATGTATGTTTTTCTTTCTTGATTATGGGTTTGAGTAGAGAGGGTTGTTGTCTTTATTTTGATATGACATGGGCTTCACTAAACTGGGCCCCATTCTAAACTGTGTCTGAATAATTCTTGTTCTCATTTCTTAAATTAGAGGTTAATGAAATGATACTTTTCCAGGAGCCACAATGCCTCAGAAAGGAGAGCCTCTTAAAACCAAAACAAAACGTGGAGTATATTCCTCTTCTGAATATTTCAATTACTGTACATCTGTTCATGAACAGAGAAATATAAACTCATAGTATACCTAAATTACATTTACTTATCTAAATAAGTACATTTCTGTTAATACGACTCTGTATCTTGAATAATGATATTGTCTTTCAGTATGTATTATCTGCATAATTTGTAATTGTATTCTCAGTATGGGTGAATGCCACAAATAAATATATGTAGTAAATATGTTTTGGTTTATTATTATGTTAGTGCAGTGGTAATGAGACTACCTCGTTTTACTGAGTTTAGTTGTTTGTTGTGCATTGATAATGAGCATTTCAGAAGTGAGGAGGTTCCCTTCCTGAGAAATGGCAACCACGCTGTTGGTATAAATAAGGTTTTAGAGCACGGTTTCTTTAGATTTGTCTGTTATTTTCAGTATTGTCACTGAATCAAAGTTGCTGTCTGTCTGTTTCTCTTATCTAAGATTTCAGGTATCGAACATGTGATCTAGAGGCCCCTATAGATTTAAGATTAACTATGAAGGGGTACAAAATAATATAACCAAGAAAATCAAGCTTGAGCCTTAAGTAGCCTTTCCTACTTTGCTGTACTTTGCTTATGCTCTATGCATAAGCAGTTTCAGAACTGCACATTGAAAAGGTTTGAAAAATCATGTGTGTATTCCAAACTAACTTATGTCACTTTTTAAACTCAAAGAAATCCAAAGCACTGTTTGCATGTCACTGTGTAATGACTGCTACTCTTTGAAATAAGGATGTGATAAACATCCGACTAAAAGAGGAGTTTGTTCTGTATATACCTTTTATTGAAAAGGGACAGCTGTGCCTTTCAATATATCTATAAACATTAACGACTTCCTTTTCAAAGGTTGATTCTAAAGAACTAATTTACCTCCTGTACACTAGATTTCAAGGAATACAATCTGTCTTTCTTACAGGAACAGAAATGGGACTTTAGCCTACTTCCTCTTGAAGCTGTTGTCATAGGGAGTTTCACTGTTTCAGCATAATGGCATAGATCAGTTTAGAGTGTCTCTAGGCCAATAAGATTTCCTTTATTTATTACTGCAGTGGTATCTAGATAATTTGATCCAGGGGCTCCATTTTGTTAGGCGCTCTTCACATCTAAGACAGGTTGTTGTCTCAAGCTGTTCTCAGATGAATAAGCTAAAACAGAATAAGGAATTGAGAGAGAAAACAATCATGGAGGGATGAAGTGATACTTTCCAGTGTCATAAAACAACTTGGTGGACCAGATAGTGCAAGGTAAACTGGAGTGTAAAATGGACACGCAAAGGCTACTCTGCAGTGGGTTGGCCCTGTGCCCACATTTATTCCGTGTTAAGATCACACCTATCTTAACCTCATAGTAACTTGTTCATGTACCATATCTTCTTATTTTCAAGGGCTTATTTTTTTGCTCATATTGGTAGTTTGCTTTGTGGAAGGGGATGATCTGTTGTATGACTGGCCTGGGTAGGTATTGTTTCTGGTTGCCCCAATACAACAGGTATTTCATTACGAGACGTGATCTGGCACTGTGAGGTGTATCATCGTGAAAAGCTCCTATGAGAGAAAGAACATGGTCTCACTTTAAAATTTTGAAGCAGAAGATCTCAGCAGTTTCTGGGTCTGCAGCTGATCTGGAATTTGATTTTTAGCATGAGTGAACTAATCTCTCTGGCTGTTTTTAATATCTTTAAGTAAAAATAATCAACTCGCCTGTGTATTGTAGATGGGCTAGTTAGCTAGGTAGCTCTTTTTCGAATCAAAATATATTTGGTCATAATACATTAGAGAAATGCAAATTAAGTAATATATTTGGAAATTCAATAGCAATTAAAACTCTCTTGCAAACTCAAAAAAAAAAAGGTAATATTATCTGTTGCCATATTCAGAATTTTCAAAAGTCTAGCATATATTTAAACATTACCTGAAGTTGACTTTTAGCAGAACTGACTTCTTCCTCAGCTAACACACAACTTAACTTGTTTCTGAAGCCAGTTTTTTCAGAAGTTTTTCCTGTTTCCAAATCCAGCTCTTTGTTAAATTCATTTTTGAATTGGTGATTAAAATAAGTCGTAAATGATGTGAGAATTAGGTCAGACTGCTTTTCCTTCATTCAGTCTTTTCTTTTCAACATTATTCCTTGTAGGTTGGTTACTTGGGATACACTTTGTAAAATTTCCTAAGGGATCCAAAATCTTACAGAAATTGTTGTTGATGACTGTTAGTACATTTCTCATCCCTGGTGTTGGGGCTTTCTAGAAGAACTGAAACATCATTGCCCAGTTTCATAACCTGCAGATCTCTGTACACTTTGTAAGTGCTGAAATACTGTTGAATCATAAATCTTGAATCTCTGTTAATATTATGAAATTTCTGGTGACAATAGAGATAATTCTGTACCTGCACTTGCAGGATAGTATGATGCATCTATTATCTTAAACATATTTAAATACTTCGGCTGAACTTTTTGTTGCCTGGCATCTTTTGTACTGCTCTTACAAATGCTTCAAAGGGGGAACACATTTAAAATACACAGTATGAGGAAACAAATGCAACTAGCTGGTAGTTCTTTGCTATTTATTGCCAGGAAGTGAAGTGTTCCCAGGGTCACGCTGGCGGAGAAATCTGAGATGAAAACTAGAAGTCTCCAACTGACAGTGATCTGGTGTAGTCTGTGCTCTTATGCAAAGCAGAACTAACGCTCTGGTGTTGCAGCTGAAGAAGTCTGTGTGCAGAACCCTGAAAAATGTGTCTCCGCCGTAGGCATTTATAGTTTATAAATCATTGTTGTAACTAAGCATTAAGCAACCAATATTTCCTAATGACTATGATGAGACAAAGCTATTGTTCCTCATTACTACCCAGGGAATGAGAAACCTACTGAAATTGCCATAACTAAAAAGCAACAAATCCAAATTTCTTCTGAAGTCAGGGTGTGAACAAATCACAACTGTGGCTTCAAGTGACACATTCTTTCTGTTTGTGATTTTAAACTACCTTCTGGATAAGTAAAAAAGAGGAGACATTTGGAACAGAATTTGGTGTGTGTTATGTATGATTTGCAGAAAATAGGAGGGAAATGAATGCAGTGAGCCATGACAGCAGCAAGGGAGGCAGAGCAGTGTGATCCCTTCATGAATCACTGCTCCAAGGCCAATCCCAATGCTTGTAAGAAGTGTAAGGAGTGACCAGTAATAGCCTCCTAGCAGGAGAAGGATTTCACTGGCTTGTGATTACACCATCTCACAGGGGTGGCCATGCAGCCCTGCAACCTGAGCTGGCCCTTCATGACTTTCAACGTCTAGAGCACTGCTATTTCAGACAACTGCATGTTTGAATGTGTGCCTACGTTAACAGCTGCTCATGTGGAAGCCGAACTGGTTCCTCTTATACAAAAATCTTTCTGCACATAGGTTAGCAAAAGAAAGTTTACCAAATGTGAACAGAAGCTCTTTGTAAAACATCAAATATTTCTGGTGTATTAAATTATGTTTATCTAAATATCAGAAGGCAGGAATCCAGATGAAGGATCAAGTATATGCAATAATATCTCATTTTCCTTTGCCAAAGAAAAAAGAACAGATAACATTCTCTTAATGAAAAGCAAGAAGAAAATCATAGTCAATTTGTTTTGAACTGTAGAATATTAATTCCTTATTGAGTCAAATTCCTAGTATAAGGAATTTTTCAAATAACATAATTTCTGATAGGTAAGTTTTCTAGTAGAAAGGCTGAGTAGCATTGCAGTGGTGTGAAGGTAGTAATGTTTAAAGGTTGTGCTGGCTTAATAAAGTATACATATTAAAACAAACCTAGTTAATAAAGATAGTGGATTTCTGCTAGGATGTAAGAATTGAAATGCTATATGCTCATCTTCTTATTGTCATCTCATTGCAAGCTGAACATCTGGCTTGGTTTGTTTTGGTACAGATATTTTCAGACAAAAAAGTATATATACATCCATAGGTCTATGCTGGCAAGCACAGTTTCTGTAGTGGACATAAAGAATAATGGAGTACCCCACTGAAAGTCATGACAGCTTGCATGTGGACTGCTCAATCCTGCCAGATGTGTTCCTTACAGAACTGGTGTTTTTCCCATTTATAGTATTGGTTTGAATCCTTGTGTCAGTCAGTGAACACCAGTGGTTAACATGGGCCTTGAACTGAAGTCTGTTTTCAAAAATTTTAATCATAATAGAAGTCAAAGTTTTATTCATTATTTCAAAGTTCAATGAACTTTTTTTTAATCTAATGTTTACTAGAATTACAGCCTGCAAACGTGCACAGGTAGTGAACATGTGTGTGTCAGTACTCTGTGCACTCCTATGCCAAACGGAGGTTTAAGTATAGCAAGCAGGGCCTCCAGTGAGATCTGTTTGAAATGTCTGATTTAAGGAATTCTGGTTTTTGTCATTTGTCATCAGATTGGTATTTAATATACCACCAGCTCTGGTTTTATTCATAGCACTGACTTACTGTCATATTTTTTTGGTCTTGGTGATACAATTTGGGAAGTGTAGATCATGTTACCAACCTCACAAAGGTGTGTTTCACCCACCGAGTGCCATTGTTTTGATAATAAGTGGATTCTTCAGTTTCAAAATGTTAGTCAGTTCTCATTGGTTTTTAGAGTCACGCTTTCTGCTTTGCAAAGTGAGCTAGAATGGTACAGCTTGTTTCATTAAGGACTTGGTTGGTTTGTCTGTTTTTTATGTGAAATGCAACAATGGCTAGAGCAACTGTTGGCCTTGGCTTAACCTGGTCCTCCAGAAAGTCTCTGCAGATGGAGCAAACACTTTGAGGATTAAAAGGTGGTCTGGCAATAAAGCTGGAGGGGTGTCTATTCCCTACATTTTCAGGCTTTCCAGGACCCTGGGAATTTCATATGGGGCATTTGGAGTCACTGCCAGAAGGACAATAGCTTTGTAGAAACTTTTTGCCTTTATGTATGTTCTGAAATTCAAAGGTAAACAGTTTTGAAAGCTCTTGTCTTCCTCCAAACTAGGCTCAAATAGAGCAATTAGGAATACTTTATATATATTTTTAAGTCAAGAAAGCAATCTAACTGCAAGTCAGTTTAACTAGTGCTAGAACACATCTGACCCCAAGGACCTGAATCAGGAAGCTCTGACAGTTAGCTCTACCAGAAATTTACTCTCACTCCCACTGCATTCTTCCTAACTCTGCCCCTCCCCGTTGTTTCACCTCTTGC